GGTATGCTGAGTATTGTATTATGTCCAGTGGCCACACCCTTACATATGACCATCCTGGACACGTCTACATTTACATATGACGAGGTTTGACAGTCCACACGCCAGTATCTTATGTATCAGATTGAATGTACGACTCGTTAGATACCCAACATGATATATTTCCAATGTATGTTTTTCTGTGTCCTGTCGGCCTCCTTCTGGACCTTGTACCAGTGACGTGCCTTCTGGGCTGGGTGAGGCGTCCCCCCAGCCCGCCGAAGCTCAGTCCATCCTGCCAAAGCTCCACCCCCATCTGGCTGAAGCCCCGCCCCCAGCTCGGTAACCAAGCTGCGTGGGGAGGAGGAAGGGAGGAGACAAGGAGGAGCCTCCCTGTCCCTCGCTTGCTCGTCACTGCTGAGGCATCGAGATCGATGGCCTCAGTGTGTTTTCTTTCTTTTTTGGATTGGACAGCTTGGACCAATGGTGCTTTGCCATTGGTCCAAGCCATCCACAGAGCTCACGCCTCTATCACAGAGTAGAGGCTGTGACAGCTCTTGCCTCACCAAGTTAGGTTACACGGGCTGTGGGGAAGCCGATCTGAATGGAGAAAAAGCTGTCAGATTCAGACTTGAAGCTGACAGCTTTTTCCTCCAAAATTTTCGGTGAGGCTCTGCACCCCCCCTGACCGCATGCCCCTGCCTTGTACTATGGGGGTGTTTGGTGTCTAACTGATTGGTATCATTAGTGTGGCCACTTTACGATATCTCCGTTACTGTAGGAGTTATGGAATATGAACTAACGTTGAGAGTTTGAGACGTATGGAAGCTCTAGATCCTTGGTTCTCAACTGGTGGGCCGTGACCCATACATCTCATACATCTTCGGAGCGCTGTGTGACCTGTCATGGACGGAGCGCTGGATGTTAATTAAAGGCGGCGCTGCATCCGGCTTCTGACAGGTAGTTAGGTTACACAGCAGAGCGCTTCCCCACTGCTTGTGTAACCTAACTTGGTGAGGCAAGAGCTGTCACAGCCTCTACTCTGTGTTAGAGGCGTGAGCTCTGTGGATGGCTTGGACCAATAGCAAAGCGCCATTGGTCCGTGTTCAGTGGGTCCCCGCGTGCCTTCCACTTTTCCATGTGAGAGGTTCCTCAGCCTCCCCCTAGCTCAGGACTATCAGTTCTCGCGCCAACCAGCCATTCTAAATATGCTGCCCGGTGCCGAGTGTCAGCTTGAGGTGGGGTGGGGGTATGGCCACGAGGGAGCTCCATCCATACTTGCATTGCTTACAGCTCCCTCGCGTACCCTGTAGAGGTGCCTGGACCGGAGTGACATTATAATCTGGCTCCCGGCACCTCAGGGCATGCATGGAAGCTGTACAAGCAACGCACATATGGATGGAGCGGAGCCACAGCACTGCAGCCAACACTGCGTTCCCTTGCGGTGCGACTTGGGTCACGACTTAGTGACCGAGGACAAATGTGGGCCCCGAGGTTACACAGGTTGAGAACCGATGCGCGAGATCAATGTACCAGACTCACAGATGTGAATTCCGAACTACTGCTCCCCAGACTGAACATGACTTGACCAGTTATGACAGGGCCTCCTCAGAGGTCCTCAGAAGACTCTGCTAAGTAAGGTTAATGAGGCTCGGCCTCCCTCTGAGCTGGCCGTGGCTTGTCAAACGTGTCGCCTTCAATGAACTCCCAGCAGAGACATGTGTATCTGACTGTGTTTGTTACCGACTCTCTGATAGGTTAGGCCTCGAGCCCTTCCGAACAGGAGGCAAGGATCTCATCTTCAGAGGACTCAGGGGTTCCAAATTCTGAAGGGGTCTTAGGTGGGCTGGTCAGGGCTGCATGCCTCCCCTCCCTCCTTTCCTTCCTTCCTCGCTCCTCTTACCTGCACATATGGCCCCGTCTGCCCGCCGGACCGGCCAGAAGTGACGTCACTTCCTGCCAGTACGACATCAGACGAGCAAGCTCGATGATGGGGCCCCAGCTTGTCTCAAAGCCGCTGCAGCGGCAATGCGTTGGGCCCTGCGCTGCTAGGGCCAGGCCTCCGCTTCCTCGCCCTTCACCGTCGGCCAATAGTCATGTAAGAGACCCGGGCGGGCCCCCCAGGCTGCCCGGGCCCCTTACATGAGTATCGGCCGTACCCCCCCTGATGGCTGCCCTGGCCGCAATCACATGTAAAATGTGTGCAGCATGTCCATCCTTCCCCCCCCCCCCCAACCTACCTCTCTCCTCTGGTTCCGTACTATGGAGAGGTAGAGTCAGATAATTCTGCCAGTGTGTGATGTCTCTGGGGCCCTTGTTTAATAGGGTGGCAACACTATCTACCCCGCTACCAATATTGCAAGCAGATTGTCACCCGCCTGCATGAACTACAGGCAACTGTGTTTTCATCCAATCCCCTGCAGTGTGCAGTGTCCCCCCCCGCCGGGTGATTGACAGCTGCTCCAACCATTCAGCAGCTGAGAATGGA